TTCACAAAATTATCAAAAATATCTACAAAAAGATCTGGTTGCCTAGATGTGTAGAAATAAATGACCAATTTATTGAGGACCAGCATTTCCAACACACAGCTAACCAATACTCAAACATATCAATTTTATTCGCATCTTCCGTCTCAAAAATGGCTGCTTCTATAGCAACTTATCCACATGAGGTAGTTCGTACGAGATTGCAAAACCAAACTCATGAACCATTTAAATATCTAGGAATATTGCATGCTGTTAAGGTAATAAGACATGAAGAAGGATTTTTGGCTTTTTATAAAGGAATGTCAACCAATCTATTAAGAACTGTACCAGCAAGTGCGTTAACTATTTTAACTTACGAGGTTTTAGTTAGAAAGTTAAATGCGAGTTCTGATAAGGGTGGTTGATTGTGCATTTGTAAAATATGCAGTGGGTTGTTAAAAAATTGGAAACGAAAACATTATAAGATTGTACGGACTTTTTGGTACATGTCTCATATAACATTCATTAGTAAATGCATGAACAGGATATTTATGCAAATAATTAAGATTTATTGATGATAATAAGTTTATAATGAAAAGCATCAATTTTGGTTGTAATCTGCTTTTTAACATGAATAGGACAACAGTTTGTCCAGATTGATCGAATTTACTACAAGCTTTTAATTATGTCTTGTCATTAAGAACAAGATTGTTGCTAAATTTAAATATATTGCTAAATTTAAGTATGCTTAGGTCCCAATTTAAACCCAGAAATATTTGGGATCTTTGATAGGTTAAATGACCAGCCATCCAGTAATCCAATTTGAATAGAATTTTTTTGGTTTATAGTCTTTTAAGATCTATGAAATAAAATTCAAATTTGATTAAATTCATAAAATCTGCACAGTCTCGAGGGGTCATTTTCTTAGCAAAGATCCCAATAGTGGGTCGGATTTATTTTAAAATTTGGCCCAATCTGATCTAGTTTGTCGATTTATATAAAATTGCTTTTCTGCTTTTTATTAATTATATAAAGATACTATATACATATATAAAATTGAGATTTGCTACATATAAAAGGACTGTTTCCTATATTTTACATTAACGTTAATATATCATACTGGGTTTACAACACTACAGCACTATACATAATTGGTCAGTAATCTGATCAAACGTTTGAGCGATAAATATAATAACTTGTTAATATACTACGTACAAGTAGGGTGTCCCAAGGCATGTCTCAGGGGTAGGTTGGAGGCATCGTGTCCCAAGGCGTGCCTCGGGTTGGACATAATCTTGAACATCTTGAACATTTTGAACAAAAAAAATAAACTGAATTTACTCAAAATTTTATTAAGATAATCTATTTAAACTTTTTTAAGCAAAAATGTTTAAAATTAAAAAAAAGAATATAATTATATAATTTTTATTTTAATTACTAAAATATTTAAAGCTATAGATAGCTTAGACACTTTGGATATTTAGATATTTGGATATTGAATATATCTAAAAAAGTTTTGAAGATGCCAAAATATACAACACTAGGGTTGAGAGCATGGTATTCTAAGGCATACTTTAGGAGTAGAGTTAAAAGCATGGTATTCTAAGGCATGCCTTAAGACATAATCAAGAAGGTATGCCTAGAACATGCTCTTTGGCTAAAAAGTATATCTTCTACTCTTTTATATAGAAAAACTTCATATATTAGGTTTTGTTGATTTAATTAATCAATTATTATAGTTGATTTAATATAATCAATTATTATTTTTTTTTTTTTATTATTAAGGTCACTTTCTTGACCAATTAGATTTTATTACTTTGTTATTACAGAACTATCAT